AAAACCCTATAGATCAGTGGTTCTCAACCTATGGATTGTGGTGACCCTGACCCTCTTTGGGGTCACAAATCAGATATCGTGCATACCAGATATTTATTTACATTATGATTCATAACAGAAGCAACATTACAATTATGAGGTAGCAACAAAAATAATTTTATGACTGGGGGTCACCACAACATGAGGAACTGTATCAAAGGGTCACAGCTAGGAAGGTTGAGAACCACTGATAGACATAACTCCACTTTTACAGAGTTGGGGCATATAGAAATAACGTGCTAGATAGAATGAGATTTGACTAGCTTGATATCCGCTGTGTCCTCCTTCTGGGATTCTATGAGTCTATTCTGTAAGGGAGGAATGTTGAACAAGTTTCCCAGATTCCCTTGCAAAGCTCTTCCATGGAGGTAGCATTAGAAGTCAACGAAGGGGGCGGGGGGTAGAGCTGTACTCCTATCGTATCGACTGTGGAACAGGGTCATGGAAGTGTGTCAAGGCAATAGTGTTAGCCACCAGGTGAGAGTGTTGACAGACAGATACAGGACATCACTGCGGGTGGATTCAACAAACAAGGTATGGCCCTGGAGCCATTAATTTTAGCAAAGGCAACTTTTCAAACCCTTGGTGGCAGCTAATGTGCTACATTTCTGTGACAAATAGTTATTATGTCGCCTTCCTACGTCTCTGTCTTCCACGCTGTGGCTGTTTAGCAATAGCTTCAGCCTGACAGCCTTGCAACCCTTGGTGGTGGCTCCCTTGACTATTCCTGCGATTAGTTTCGGTTTCATTTCATTGGGTTCCTGCTGCCATCTTGGGTAACTTGATACTATTACAAACACAACATAGAGAGCCTAGCACACTGATGGACTGTAAAGCCCACAGTCTCTATGAAAAATGTTATAGAGTGAAATTAGCTTTACATCCAGGGAGATCGGTTGCCAAGAGTTGCAGGCTATGGGGACAGGATTGGCTGAGCTGCCACACCTTCCAGGGACAGGTCTTTGTTAGGCTCCATTGGACCCTATTCTGTGCACCTCTCATATCCTAGGAAACCTTTCCCCTTCCCTTCTCCCTAAGCAAGGGCAGGTTTCACTTGTTTTCTCATGAGAGCATGTAACTCCCCAAGGCAGACTATTATTGACTTTCCAGTCACCAAAGCCCGAACTCCCAAATCCCCAACACTATATGACAGTTAAGGAAGGTAGCTACTCCTGTACCCAACAGTTTTATGGTGGGAATCAAAGAGAAAGAACTGAGGAATGCTGGTACTTTGAGTGGTCCATGAACTCTTTTTTCCCCACCATGTCCCCACTTCTAGACAGAATCCTAGAGGTGGGTTGAGAGTTGACAGAAACGCCGTGTCATCTGGGATCCTATAACAGAGGGATTCCTGCATGCTTAGTGTTCCCTACACCCAGTCTGGCCTGGAACAGATCACTAGTTTTATGGTTTCTTGGGAAACCTGGATATTCCAGCACAACCCTGGAGCAACAGAAGGAACTCACCCCTGACCCAAAAGAAATGCACGGATGGGGTCAGAGGTGGAGGAGGAATGTACTCAGCACCACGGGATGCTGCTACAGGGCTCTTCTCACTGGTGACTGGAGAGCAGCCAGAACATCACCCCAACAGACTTAGTTCAAGAGTACTGAGGATTGACCTCACCACAAAGCCACTCTGTCACTCCACAACATTGAGCTAAACCTGGTACCTGACCAAAGCTCAGAGGACATCTGGTAGGAGTGAGGGGACTGATCTGAAATCAAATGAAGTGAAGCTCAGGGGCCTAAGGTTGAATTATATCCAATTAGACAAAGGAGGCTCCATTTCTTGCCCGCACGGTCTATAGGCCAGAAGGTCAGTGCTTACACGATGCTAGAAGTTCTGTTACTGGCCTTGTCTTTGGTTGAGAATGGATGCTAGCAGGCTATAGAATACAACTTGGTATTCACTCTCCTGCCTGTATCTGAATTAAATAAAGTTCAGGAGAATGATGCTGTGGTCATTCTTTACATGTCTTCATATGTGGTTTGTCTGGACAGTGGAGCAGATGCAACAGAGGCTTCTACAGTGATAAGCCTACCTCATCTGTAGTCTGACCCTTAGTGGATGAGCCCTTTGGCTCTGTCTTCTGCCCCGAGCATGCTTGTCATTTGCCAGTGCCATGGGAGCAAAGTTTCAAATCAAAATCAATAGGAAAAAAACCTCTGGTTTACTCTGCTCTTTAAAATGTACCTATATCCCAACCATACTTCCTATGTTAGTCTCACAAGATCAGGTCCTCTCTGACCACTTCATTTGTGCTTTGCTACCTGCAGTCCTGGGTTTTCCTGGAGGCTCCCTGCCTCTGAGTTAGCTTCTGCCTACTATCTTGTCTTTTCCTTTCCTGAATGTCTTTTAGGTGAGTGCTCCTTTCTTAGGTGAGTGCTCCTAAGGATTTTCCCTGGTCCTCTAGTCTCCCTGAAGTCACTCTGCCATGCCCCAGAATTCTTAGGCCTTTTGTTTTTTTTTAAAAAAAACCCATGTTGACTTATGAGGTGAACTGTTCCAGAGTTCTGACTTGGGGTGTTTGATCTGTGGCTCGAGACAATACTGATACCTCAATATCTAAATGAACTATTTGGCTTTCTTCCTTGGGCCATTTAGGCTGTCATTGTTACTATGAGCAAACAGCCTTGGAATACAATGGGCATTTACTAGGCAAGTAATGTCTAGCAGCTCAGCCTGGAGGTCATGCATACAGTTTGGAGTTAGATTTATAAGCCATAGTTTTGAAGCTGGATTCCACCCCTTCCTCTTATCAGCTATGGAGCCCTGTGTGGGTTCATTAGTGGTCTGAGTTTCAGTTTGCTCATCTCCAAATAGACATACAGTATGAAAATTAATGAGCCTTACTGGGGGAGTATAGCAAATACATCCCACTGGGAAAGTATAGCAAATACATCCCACTGGGAAAGTATAGCAAATACATCCCACTGG